TCATTGTAGAGGATTAGTCTTCCTGAGATAAAAGAGCACCCTTGGTTTCTGAAAAATCTGCCGAAAGAGCTAATTGAGGTTGAGAGAACAAACTATGCGTCAGTGGAGCGTGACCAGCCTAAACAGAGCATTGAAGAGATAAATAAGATCATACACGAGGCAAGGACACCAGGGGAAGGATCCAAAGCAGGTGGTAAAGCTGTTGCTGGGCCGTCTGACTCTGATGATCTAGAGGCTGATTTGGACTCCGAAGTTGATTGCAGTGGTGACTTTTCAGGCCATCCTTGAGCATGATATCGGAAGGATTTGTTCTTTTAGAGTTTGTTTACCCACAAAAAATACTTTCTTTGGACATTTATGGTGTTGAATCAACACTGTTTACCCACAAAAAACAGTGTTGATGATATTGTATAGCAGACTATGCTATGCATATTTGTACAAAGAATTTGAACGGATTGAGTTATTTCCATTGTATGTAGATTGTATTTGAACATGTTTGGATCCTCGATGCCATTTTTTGATATTTTGTTTGAACGTACTCGCAGTCTTCGACAGCATGATCTGCATAATTTAACGTATCTAGTATTTGACAAAATTTTCATACTCATTATCTTAATGGATCATGTCATGTCAGACCCAATAACGGGTTTTTAACAGGTAATCTGATAATGACTCGAAACTTGTTATTTTTGTGGCATGTTAACATGTCGTGCAATCAGCTTGAAGATCTAAAATAAGGGTTCAATCAAGGTGTAGGCTTTCCCATCACTTGTGGGTCTTGTAATTGGAAGATCAACGGTAAAATTTTTTAATAGAACATTGTGATCACGTGGTTGATCCTACCACTGTTACAAAAAAAATTAAAGTTCCAACGTTTTAGTCTCATCTGACGGAAAGAGATCCTCTTCTAATATCTTCCATCAAGGCTACCGGATCAAGTAATCTGGATCTTCTAAATTTTATCCAACGGTAAAAAATTATCACAATTTTTAAGAAATCAAAATAGGTGGACCGTTAAATGAAATTTGGAAGGCCTGGATCACTTATATGGTGCCCTAGGTGCATCTGACCTCAATTCTGGCCCCGTACTATGTGAGAGTCATCCTACCAAATTTTTGTCTAGCTATGTGCTGCTGACGAGCTGTACCAAATGTACTCGTATTAAAAAAAAAAAAAAAAAAAAAAAGAGAATTTATAGCAATAGCGTTTGTAGTCCAACGGTTAGGATAATTGCCTTCCAAGCAATAGACCCGGGTTCGACTCCCGGCAAACGCATATGACTTTGTTTTAAAATTTAATTTTACTTCTAGTGCCTAAAGTCTTATGTTCGATTTCCCAGTCCCACGATGTTATTGTAAGCATCTCTACAAAGGAAAATACACTAGATTAAAGTCTTTCCAATTAGTTAGTCAATTGACTGATTAGAAATGTTAAAAATATTGACTAGTTAGAATTATTGTAAAATTGTATTAAGATTACAATTAAATTATATATATTGTATATTGTTGTAGGTCTATTTGATTGAATGATCTAGGGTTGAGAGATAGAGAGTGGATTGAACGATCTAGGGTTGAGAGAGAGAGAGGGGTATAAAAACCTTTCCTTTTAGGATTATAACATTGAATAGGTAATCTACTTCTAATAAGAATATAAAATATATTCCTAGATTCCCTAGGATTTACACAATCACATTCCTATTCTAAATATGACTGCAACACACACACACACACATATATATATACACACACACACACATACAATGTATATTTACACTGTAAATGAGGGAATAAATTGGTTGTGAGCTCGCCATCCACAATATTTGAATATAAGATTTTTTACTTACAAATAAAATTGAATAATACTAGACCATACTATTAAGTGATGATAATACATAATTTTTAGTTATGACCATTGGATTAGATCTCACGAGTCACGACTAAACCCTAAACCCTAATCTAGCTACTTACAGGTTATGTAGTGGTGGCGTAGTACTAAGTTTCTCCAGATGGTTTGTGCCACATGCCTTTCATGACACAAAACTGAAGGTTAAGCTCCATTGGTCCTCCATTTGCACTGGTTCAAGGAACAGTAGAAGCCCCTGCCAAGGAGCCACATTCAAGAAGATTCAGCCTGAAGTTTGCCCTACAATAAGAAGGGGTTCGGTTACTTCGGTAGCATGGATTGGTTCTGGTCCGGGAGTTTTTATAAGCCTTGCGAATCACACACAGTGGAAAAAAGACTACACTGTTCGCTTCTGTTCTTCCAGAAGACATGAGCATCACCAAGAAAATTGCTCAACTTCCGGCTGCTCCAGATGTTTGGAACAAACAGTATCAATGTGACTGTCTTGGAAAAGCCTGTTCCCTTGTTTCTGCGAAGAACTAAGACGAGTCATGGAGATCTCACTGCAAACATGAAATCAAATTAAAAGAATCCATACAATACCAGTATGTAACACGATGAAATGAGTCCCTTCCAACGTGGTTTTCTTTCCTTATTCTGAGTAAAATATCCTGATTCTAATCGTAGGAACCCAACTCATTCACTGAAAGCGGATGAATTCGCAGGACCTATTAGACAAAGAGGAGGTAGGAGCATTCCCCCAGCCAAGAGAGGGAGGGAATGGGCGGGAACATCCAAAATGAGTATTAGGTTGGACCTTATGAGATCAAATATCAAGCTGCAAGGGAACATTTGTCCAAGGTAGATCATTTGATCATGGCACTGTTGAGTAGCAGGTTTTTGTTTATGTTGTTGTTTATCTTTTCCTGCCTTCTCTCTTATTTTGTCAAAATTTGTAAGTATTGCTTTTCACTTCATTTGAACAAAAAATGTAGTGGTTCCTTGTTAAACAAGCTTAGATGACTTCCATAAAGCTTTTGCGAAAATTAAAAGAAGTAAAACTTCGAACTAAAGTCAAGAATTCAATCAAGAAAGATCAACGATTCAATTCTATTTAAAATCAAATGGACCCATCACTTAATATTATGGCCTATTGATATGTCCTTTTCACTTGTAAGTGAAATATCTTAAATTCGGATATCATGGATAATAAGTTTTGATTCCAACTTAATCCTAAAACTCTGAGTGATTTTCAAGATTGAGGTCGAACTATTAAAGTATGAACGAAGGATTAGAAAATTTCTCACGTGAGCATTACAAAGACATGGATAATCTTTTAGTATGTCATATCAACTGTGGTTACTTGACACCATAACCGTTACTCATCCCTATACATGGGTATTGCTAAAAGGGTAATGAGTTAGTCCTGGTGTACGACTACATGCCCAACGGAAGCCACAACAAATTTCTGCACAAAACCTTCAACTCAGCAGTTCTTCTATCATGGAAAGCAAAGACTTTAACATATTTCTCGGAGTCGATTTTGCAGCTCTTCTCTTGCATATCTTCACGAAGAGTGACAGGCAAATAATTCAGAGAGATACTAAAACTTGCAACATAACGCTCGATGCAGATTTTAACGCCGAACTAGGGGATTTTCGTCTAGCAGAAGCGTATAAGCATAGTTCCATCATTGCAAGAGAAGCAACTATAACAGCTGGAAGAATGGGATATGTTGCTCCGGTACGTTTATTCAGGTGTTCCAACAGTTAAAACTGATGCTTACAGTTTTGGTGTGGTGGTGTTAGAATTGGCAACGTGAAGAAAGTCGGTGGAGGATGATGGAACGGTGGTTGTTGATTGGGTTTGGAGCATGTGGGAAAAGGAGAAACTGCTTGAAGCTGCTGTGATGAAATTGGGGATTCCATCATAAAATCAATTGGTCATATAGAAGTAGTCCAAGATCATATAAGCCCATAGCAAGGCATGTCCCTCACCGATGTGGGACAAACTTTTCCTCACATCATCAAATCTCGACATGCTGATCTGAGGTTGATGGGGAAGTTTGATATGGTAAAGATGATAGGATGCTGATGACTGGACTTGCTTGTGTGCACCCAAACCATGTGAAGAGGCCAACGGTGAAGGAAGCTGCTAGGATTCGTAAAGGCGAAACTGCCTTTTTCCTCTGCTGCCACCAAGAAAACCAAGGGTAAGCCATCCCCCTATTCTTCCAAAATTGACGTTTGGAAGGAGATTGACATTAATTGAAAGCGTAGGCGGCTCAAAACTAAATTAAAAGTTTCAAAGTCAAATGTGAAACAAGGTCCAAAATTCATGGGGCTTAAGACTTTCTGTACATAATATTTTTTCCTGCCAACAAGGGATTTATACATGTACATCCCCGTAAGCTGCAAACGTTGTTACAAATACAAATCCCTTGGATTATGTCTATAACGCAATAAAATCTGTCTCTTAACAACATTAACGATTGCACTAGTTCATTCATTTATCCATTCTTAGTGCAAAATAAAAAGCTCATGAGATAGTTTACTGATCACAGAAACAAAATCTACCGAAAACTTATCACGGTAGAATGATGGCGCTACACTGATATGTCCTAAATCAGGGATTTGCAGATGTCGGATGAATCCAACAAACGTATGACTATAAAATATCGTGAAGCACAAGGGAAGAAGCAGATTAAGAAAGAATAAAGGCTGGGAGTTAGATGGTGACTTGCTAACATGAATTCTGAGATGGTGAGAATTAGAGCAATATCATTAGCTTCATTTATTTAAAGACACTGGATATTCAACCAGGTACAACTGTTAAGAATTCAGATATGGTCGCTGTCTCTACAAGTCAATGGGGAAAGCTCCTCTGGTTCGAATATGATCAAGAGTCCTCCTTAGGCCATGTTTGAGCCCTGCTTGATTACCTGTTGCATGTCTCGATTACTTGTTTGAAAAATTCACCAAGCAGCTTCTCTTCATTAGACATTGTCGAACAAGACCCAGAAGAAGTCTCAGAGTCCAAGCCACGTATGGGCTAACTTGGCAGATACCATTTTCCACCTTTAGGCTCAAATTCCGGTAACCATTGAGCTGATGGAATAAATAGATAGTGAGTTACCTGCATTTATTATAAGATGGTGACTAGTAACAATGTTTTTTGCGGATTTGTTTTGTGTTGCTGAAGCTAGCACTTCCAGGCTCACTTGGAGTTGCCTCGTCACGATATTCATGTGTTCGTTTCAAGATTTTCAGTGTATGGTTGAGTTCTTCCAAATCTTGCTTGTACACCAAACGAGCCCCACACTTCTTCACCTTATTCAAGTCTGCTTTTACTCTTCCCACTCCAATACCACCAAAGTAAGTTTCGAATAAAAACGGTTTGTGATGACAAGCTTCACGAGACAAATAAAATACCCAAAGGTGTTCTGACACAAGAGGTCCTATTATGTTTGAACAAATCTTACGGTAAAAAGGTTCTGATAAAAACTCAAATTCGAAATTACTATAACAATGAAGCGCAGCTGGATTGGCCAAGTTTTCCTTAGGATCTTCAAAAACAACACAAAAGGCAATCCCCAGCCAGTTGGTACATGATGGTGGAGGAAGCTCCACATTTACTGAATGTCCCACACTTTGATTACTGAACCACTCTGGAATTTCACTTCCAGGGATTACAATCTGTGGCATTCGGTAATAATCCTGTAACCAAAGAACTATTATATGGATGTTTATATATATATATATATATATAGAGAGAGAGAGAGAGAGAGAGAGAGAGAGAGAGAGAGTACCTTGTTCTGAGTGGCAAATTTTACAATCCTTGAGAGTATTGTATTGGTCCAGGCTTCATCTTGAACCAATGCAATGCAATTCCGGCAAGTGAAACTAAAATCATACAAATTGGTGAATCTGCTGCTCAACTTGGATGTATCTGACAAACTTCGTAAGGAAGTACAATCGTCTACATTTACATGCAATTTGCCATTAAATGGAAGAGGTGGCAATTTTTGAAGGCTTTTGCAGCTCGACAGAACAAGATAGCAAAGCTTAGAAAGGCACCTAATGCTTTCAGGTAGACTCACGAAATTATTTCCACCAAGATTCAATCTTTCCAAAAAGGACAAGCAGCCAATATCATCGGGAATATCCCCTTCACAGAGTTTACAATCTCTTAGATTTATGGTCCTTAAAGTGCATAAACGATTTAGAGAAGAAAACATCAAACCCGGACAAGGAGGAGGATCAGGAGCACTCTTTCCAAGTCCTAATATGCGGAGAAGGCGCCACCCGTCTCTTGCCTTAGCATACGATCCGCATAATTGTAGATGTTTGAGATTTTTCATACCCCCAATCGGCTCTGTCAAAGTGGCTCCCAATACAAGCGTCTCTAAGTGATCCATGTCTCCTGGGAGTTTGTCAATTTTTGAGCATTGTCCCATACAGAGGCGTCGAAGAGACTTCAAATTACAAATAGCCCTGGGAAGGTTCAAGAGATTTTTGCAATTAAATAGATTCAAATCCTTAAGGCCAACCAAATGTTCAATTGATGAAGGCATTTTCTCAATCGCAGTCCCACCTAAGTGAAGCTTGGATAAGTTCTTCATCTGCTCCCCAAATTCTGGAATCTTTCTCACATTTGAGCAGCCATTAAGATTTAAAGATTCCAGGGAATCCATTTCAACTTCACTTGGGAGGCTCTTAATGCTATTACATCCATGAATATGCAAATGTTTAAGTCTTTTGAGGACTGCAATAGACGGGTGTATCTCAACTAAATTTTTACAATGCCCAAGAGCCAACTCCACAAGATTTGGAATACCACTGAAATCTGGGGTATTAATCAATTTTTTGGAGAAGCCAAGATCGATATATTTCAAGTTGGGCAAGTCCTGTACAACAGTGATATGGTTCAGATCGTATATTTAGCTTCTACAATCTTAAAGTTTATTCAAAATAATAAATAAATGATTATTCTGTAAATTAAATAGCATTTATTCAATACTATTACCAATTTTCCCTTCCAAAGCCGAACAAGTTTGCTCTTACGCATCTTTAGTTGAGTAAGCATACACAAGTGAAAGCTGGTTGGAAGAAATTTGGAAGGATAGAAACTCCAATTTATAATTCTCAAGGAACATGGAAGAAATTTGGGGCATGAAGAAATGATCAAATTATTGAATTCCAGAAACCTCAGTTCATGCATATTAGAGAAGGCTTCCGAATTCCAGTGCATCCTCTTTTGATTCAGGGTAACTGTAAGACTATGCCTTCAATAGCACGTGTCCCCTAATAACCAAGAATGTAGGAAACATCAATTTCACATACAAATATTATGCTAATAGAAATCATAGTCCATTTTTGAACTTGGTATTTACATAATTTCTTACCGTATTGGTCATGAATACATGAAAAATGTCATTAGGAAGCCATAACCTACTTCGTAGACCAGGCTTTTCAGATTCTTGACGAACAATTGTCCATGCCATTTGTTGTATGAAATCATGCATCCCTATTTTGTTCGTAATCATTGAATAGAAGAGATCTCTCAATTAGCAAATCTATTAGAATACAACTAGAAATTCCAAAAGAATTGTCTAGTACTTGAATTACTTGCTTTGTGTACTTCCCTTTGTGGAAACATGCAACATCAAGGAAAATTCTCTTCTCCATCAGCCGGAGTCCATCATAACTAACTTTGAGCGAATAAAAAATATTCTGATTGGGAATTTTAAGTAGATTATCCAACTCACTATTCCATGCATCTCGCCCTCTCCTATACAAAAAAGACCCTAAAACTTTAAGAACCAAGGGAAGGCCTCTGGCATGGTTCAGGAAACGGTCAGAAAGTTCCAAAAAGTCTTCTCGGGTTGGTCTTTTTTGAAGGCATGGAAGCTAAAGAGCTCAAGAGCTTCTCCATAATTCAATCCCTCAACCTTATATGATGTTGCTATACCATGCTGGACGAGCAGACCTTCATTTCTTGTTGTAATGATGATTCTGCTCCCCATACCAAACCAACTTTGATTCCCAGCCAGTACTTCTAGTTGGTTTAATTCATCCACATCATCAAGTACGAGAAGAACCTTCTTATTGCACAAGCACTTCTTACTGTAAATTCTTCCGCACTCTTCATCCCAAATTTCTTCCTTCTTGTCCTTCAAGATTGGGAAAAGAAGTTGTTTTTGAAGGCTAACAACAGTACGATCTCTTGCACAAACCTCTCTAACATTAGCAAGAAAACAGTGAACTTCAAAATGATGGAAGATTTTATCAAAAACTAGCTTAGCAAGGGTTGTCTTGCCTATGCCACCCATCCCAGTTATCCCAATAAAGCGAACATCATTTGCATCAAGAGCTAATAAAATAGTTAGTTGCTCGAGCGCGGAATCAATTCCGACTAACTTCTGTGAGGAATCTGACAAAGTCATTGTAGCTTGCACCTTCCTCCACACACATTTGACGATGTCATCAATCAGCTCTCTTTCACACCTGCAAAGAAGAAAAATTGAATAACAAAAAAGAGAACATAAGTAAGCAAGCAAGTATGCATGACTATATTAAGACATGGGCAAGTTGTTCATGCTTGCTTACTTAAAATTCTTCGAATCCCACCAGAAATTTTCGACACTGTTTTTAAAGCAGCTTTCCACTGAGTCACCTTCATTTTGTCTTCAGTGCTAGTCAACTTTCCTTCATGCTCGGCGAAGGCTTCAGCAAACCTCGCCCTCTGATTTCCCACGTCAGAGGGATCGACACCATAAAAGACTGGGAGAATTGAGTTCCTGCCTTCCATGCACTGAATAATGTTTGTAAGTTCAGTCAAGCACCATTTGGAAGAAGCATAGGTTGGCGAGAGAACAACAATTGCAGTATGTGATTCTTTGATCGCACTCGGTAGCTCCAGAGGAATACTTGTTCCACCTACAAGTTCTCGATCGTCCATGAAAGTCATAATTCCTTGGCACTTGCACAATTCGTGGTATAGATGGGAGACAAAACCCTTGCGGGTGTCTACACCTCTGAAACTCAGAAACACGTCATACTTCCATCGAGGAGCTGATTCAGATGAAAGAAGAGATGCAGAGGCCCTTTGCGTGCTCAACGCCATTGCAAAGTCGCTCCTCACAATCGGAGAGGAATGGTAATTGTCGGTAGAAAATCACTCACACCAAAGTAGGAACCGATGATGAAGAGAACCTTTTTTTTTTTAGTTTTTTTGTTTTTGGGTCTCTTTCACCAATGGTCTTCGTTCTCTCTCTTTTATTATTTGGATGATCAAACAATATTTAATTATTAAATTACATTATCAAGACGTTAAAGTAAACAAAAGATTAATTACTTGATCATTGAGAACTAAAGCATCTCACCAACTCTAAATAAATAAATAAACAGATTTACGTAGAGCCAAAACAAAGAGCTAGAAAATTAATGAAGGGACAAAATTTGACGACTAAAAATGTGTAAAAGGAGACTTGACTAAAGAGTTACGAAATTTTAGGGAAGCACACTCTCAACGTGTTGAGAAAATTCTCGAGAAACTGTAGTATAGTTTGAATGAAGTTTCAAGGAAGCTCACTCTTGACATGTTGCGAAGAGTCTTTCTAAGTAACAAAAATAATTAAATAATCATGTAACAAGTGCATGTTTGTGAATGAACGTCCGGATATAAATTGAAGCATACTCGTAAATTTTCTAAATAAAGCAGACAAAATTGTAGGCATCATCCATATACCAAGAACCATCATCAGAAGATTCACTATTCTCATCAAATAGTTTAACTGAGACTTGTGCTGATACTTTTGGTGCAGTCATATATAAGAAATGATGACATGCTGATTTAGTTCTTAAATTATCACCTCAGTGAAATTCAGAAACGCTTCATACTTAAATTGTGAATTGGATCCTCTCCTGAGCACAACCTCAGAATCCTGCTGACCAGCCTACATGAGCCGTTGGATCAAAATCCAACGGCTACATTTATTATAACTTTTAGAGCAACCCCCTGTTTGTAGCCATTGGATCAAAATCCAATGGCTCACGTGTGCTGGTTAGCAAGATCATGAGCTTATGCTCAGGAGAGGATCCAATTCCCTTAAATTGAGAAGCTGATTCAAATGAAAGAAGAGATGTAGAGAGGCCCTTTGCGTGCTCAATGCCATTGCAAAGTGGCTCATAAGAATCTGAGAGGAATGGTAATTGTCGGCAAAAAATCACTCACACCAAAGTAGAAACGGATGATGAAGAGAGGTTTTATTTTATTTTATTTTTTATTTTGGTCTCTTTCGCCAATGGAAAAGGATCCTCGTTGGATCCTTTTTCTAGGATACTAGAGATTTCATGATCGTGACTGTTCATCATATATCGTGCGGTCAGAAATCATTTCAAAATTTAAAATTTAAAATTAAATATCAATAATACCTAACAAAAACTGATCGTATGATGTACGATAAACAGTCACGATCACATAATCCCTAAGCATCTCATCTCTGGAAAAAGGACAATACTTGGGTAGTGACCGTGGAGTACACAAAACACTAACTATCAGAAGTGGTGTAAATAAGACACCTGTTACAATTTAAGTTATATAAAACATGTAACCAAACAACGGTAATAACTCATCCAAACATCCCCCTCTTCATCCGTAAGACCTCAACGCCTCCAGCACTGCAATTTTCTGACCATGGCTTGAAGATCGGGATTATGACCACACAACAGAAGATTGAGTAAATCAAGGGCATCTATCGGGGAGCAGCAGGTTAAAGCCGTCGGGAAACGACAACGTCCATCGTGGGAGGCCGTCTATTCGTAGTTGCTGGAAAAATTAGGTATGGTATGGGGTTGAGGTGATTTAAAAAAAAAAACTGGTATAAAAAAAAAGCTGAGGCTCATTTTTGTTTTGGTAAACTTCTAGCTTCAGCTTTTTTTCACAGTTTTGGGTGAAAAAAGCCAAAAAACAGAAGGAGCAAAATGCAGCTTTGAAAAGCTGGCTTTTCAGCTTCTGCGCAAACCTCTAAAACACAGGTGAATAGTGACCTTTTAATGAAAGTTTCTGGCAATCCTACCCTGAGCTCTCTCTTCTGCCTCCACACTCCTCCGTCAAACCCATCACTCTCCCACACCTCTCTGCACCCCCTCCACCTCTCATGCTCCTTCAAACCCATAAAACCGCCCAAACCACCTTCTCTATCTGCCTCAACACCGCCGCCTGCCAGAGATAGAGTCATCAACTTCAGAAAATACAAGGGCAGGATGCTGGGCACCCTCCTTTCAGCCTACCTTAAGTGGGTCTCCAAAAATCTCTGCACTCACAACTTTAAGAACTGGACGAAGCTTGCCGACCAGGTCCTTGACAACGCCGTTTATTAGGATCGGATTGAGTGAGAGCTGGCAGAGAACATCCTGAACAGAAATCGGAGGAAAACAGACCCAGCCTCTGACATCGTTTCGTCCATTGAGCTACGGCGGCTCCAAACCCATCAAGAAACCTAATTTCCCAAAACCCATTTCTCCATTTCACCAATACATTCACTCAGCTCAAGCTCAAGCGGTTGATTCCGAGGATTTCGAGCAGAGGAAAAGAGAGTGTAGAGAAAGTGTAGAGAGAGAGAGCTGAGGTGAGATGGTATGAGATAGAAGGTTTATGTGTGGGGTTGTCTCGGTGGAGGAGAGAGTGCAGAGAGAGAGAGAGCTGAGAGTTTTCGAGAGAGTTCGAGAGTGTAGAGGGAAAAGAAGACACATGGATAAGGGAAATGGGGTGTGGGCCCCACAGCCACACAAAATATTCACATAAAAATAATAATATTAAATAAAATATCATAATAATAATATAGTATTATACCCTTTTTGGTCATTTCACACAGTCACAGCTGTTTTACATAAAAGTTTACCAAACACTATCATATTGCTTTTTTTTCCAAAAGCACTTTTACAAAAAAGTTTACCAAACACTCTGCTGATTTATTTCACAGCTACTTATTCTCACAGCATAGCAGAAGTAGCTTTTTTCAAAGCACAACAATACCAAACTAGCTTTTAGAATCAGAGGCAATTGCCGGAGAAGCGAGGGATTAGAGGTGGTCACTGGAAAATAAAAGGAATTAGGGTTGGGGTCGTTGGAGAGAAACGATCAAAGCGGACGGAGAAGAGATGGGTTGAAAGTGAGGAAGAAGAGGGATGTTTGTGTATGAACATATCTAGTCTTTGGGAGTGTTTGGACATAACTGGTGTAAAATTTTAATTGGGCCACTTCAAAGAGTCAGTTTTTTGTGTGCTCACCAGTGAGTACCCACGTATTATCCTTGAAAAATAATGAAAGGACAAAACTTGACAACTAAAAATGTAAAACGTGTGAAAGGAGATTTGACTTAATAGTTAGGAAATTTCAAGGAAACACACTCTCAATGCGTTGCGAAAATTCTTGAGAAACTGAAGTATAGTTTGAATGAAATTTCAAGGAAACTCACTCTCGACACGTTGCAGATAATCTTTCTAAGTAACAAAAATAATTAAATAATCATGTAACAAGTGTATGTTCGTAAATGAAAGTTCGGATATAAATTGAAGCATACTCGTAAATTTTCTGAATAAAGCAGACAAAATTGTAGACATCATCCATGTACCAAGAACCATCATCGAAAGATTCACAATTCTCATCAAATAGTTTAACTGAGACTGTGTGCTAATACTTTTAGTGCAGTCATATATAAGAAATGGTGATATGCCGATTTAGTTTTTAAATTATCACCTTAATGAAATTCAGAAACACTTCATACTTAGATTGAGAAGCTGATTCAAATGAAAGAAGAGATGCAGAGGCCCTTTGTGTGCTCAACGCTAATGCAAAGTGGCTCCTAACAATCTGAGAGGAATGGTAATTGTCGGCAAAAAATCACTCACGCCAAAGTGGAAACAGATGATGAAGATAGGTTTTATTTATTTTATTTTTTATTTTGGTCTCTTTCGTTGTTTTCTCTCTTTAATTATTTGGATGATCAACAATATTTAACTATTATATTATATTGGCACTCATACTGCAGTCTAGTGGTATTCCTCTTCACTTGAAGTGAGAGGTTTTAGGTTTGAATCTCGTGGATGACGAATTCGATACCAAATTAGGCTACCTATTGTGTGGCTTAACCGAACTCCCTCTACTCTTAGTGTAAAAATATCGATGTACTAAAAAAAAAAAAACACTATGATATTACATTATCACACACCCCTTGATATTTTTTGTCCGTTGATCTTCTTCAATTCATCCGATTTGACGGCCGAAAATTAAAAAGGTGTGTGAGAAGTAAAATAGAGTGTGTGGATATCACACTCCTAAAGTAAACAAAAGATTAATAATCATTGAGAACTAAAGCATCTTACCAACTCTAAATAAATAAATAAACATTTGTATATATGTAGAGCCAAAACAAAGAGCTGGAAAAATAATGAAGGGACAAAACTTAACAACTAAAAACGTGGGAAAGGAGACTTAACTTAATAGTTAAGAAATTTCAGGGAAGCGCACTCTCAACGCTTTGCTAAAATTCTTGAGACACTGAAGTATAGTTTGAATGAAACTTCAAGGAAGCTCACTCTCGACGCGTTACGAAGAGTCTTTCTAAGTAACAAAAATAATTAGATAATTATGTAACAAGTGCATGTTCGTGAATGAAAGTCCGGATATAAATTGAAGCATACTCGTAAAATTTCTGAATAGAGCAGACAAAATTGTAGGCATCATCCATAACCATCATCGGAAGATTCACAATTCTCATCAAATAGTTTAACCTGAAACATGTGTTGATACTTTTGGTGCAGTCATAAATAAGAAATGTTTAGAATCCTTCACGCTGTAGCAAATGATGCAACAGATTCTGATCAGTCATCGTCGTCATCATCTGGATTACCATAAAACATTAGAACTAGAACCAGAATTCTTGTCAAATAAAAGGTTGAATTACAATTAATTCAAATGGGACTCCAAGACTAATGGCAACCAGCACGGCATTTTGTTCCCAGGATCCAGAAAATAGCGTCCAAAATTCTCACGATGAATATAACCAATTTGAGTTCCCACTGTCCATAAAGAAAGCAAATATCTAAAATAGAAAGCAACTAAGCAAACTGTTTTTGAATCAATTAACCAGAGTGTTTGATGATAGTAGATCCTACTTATTGTGCAGTCCTAATATCAATTTTTTCTTTCTAAATATACAAACTTTTGAAGTATACAATGGGATTTTTGAAGTTTTGATAACAACTCCAATTCAAAATATATACTCATATTTGGGGTAGTTCTATCTTCTCTACCTATTACTGTTAGAAACGCTTTCTTATTTGAGTAACAGAAACGAAAGTACAACAGTATATTTTACACTAGAAGGAATGAGAGTTTGGCTAAGCTATACAATATGTAACCTAATTTAGTAACGAATTTGCCATCTATGAGATTCGAACTAAGACCTCTCACTTACAAGTGAAGAGAAATACCAATAGACCGTAGTATTGAATAGCCATCTTTTAAATCTACCACACTGTTAAATATATTCATGTGACATCGCATGATTGGTTTTGAAACCGCCGCCTTAGCATATGTGATGTGTCTCTCAGCAGGGATGCCACTTGATAACTCGGCTATTGCGAAGATGAAGAATTGGTTAGGATTTAGGATTGAATAAGAATTCTTAGGATATAATATTAGGGAACATTTGTGTTCACACACATTTTTGTTAATTTATGTCCTTTGATTGTCATCACTTCATTCATTCCGATAGTCGAAAATTAAGTTCATGAGTGCAACTTGAGT